TCCCTACAGAAGGAGGGTGAGAAGATCATGAGAGCAAACTTGAATTTTGTTTCTTTTATCAGTCCTACTGCCCCAGATGGGGAACCAAAACAAAGCTGTTAACTGAGAGGTGACATCACCACCAAGTTTTCAGGAACTTTCATAAACAACTGCTATTACGTTGACCTCAAATATAAGAAACAACTCCCTGGGGGCTTCCCTGGTGGCGCAGTGGTTGAGAGTCCGCCTGCCGATGCAGGGGACACGGGTTTGTGCAAAAAAAAAAAAAAAAAACTCCCTGACTAATACCAAGCCTTTATTAAAATCATTTATTTTCTAATTCAAACAAAGTTTAAGGGTAGGCATGTTCATTTTTACTCTAAACTTCAGATCTAGATTATTATAAATTTATAGCTGACAATCATTTAATCTTATGCAGATAAAATTATAAGCACTTCATATATACACATATATGTGTGTGCATGTACACATATCCTTAATCTTTAAAGCAACCCTAGGAGATTAAAACTAGTATTACTCCCATGTTCCCAGTTTAAATGTGAAGAAACTGAGTGGAAGAGAGGTTACCTAGCCATTAAGAGGTGTTTACAAATTACAACAAAAAGAAACACCAACGTTTTACAATACCTACCAAAAAATGTTTTTACAAAATATTTACATATATTCAGATTTCTTTCCTTTTTTAAGTGAAGTATAATTGACTTGAAATATTATATTATTTTCAGGTGTAAACACAGTGATTTGGGATTTTTATACATTACGAAACAATCAGCACTATTAAGTCTATTACCATCTGTCGCCAGAGTTATGGCAATATTATTCAGTATGTTCCCCCTGTTGTACATTACATTCCTGTGACTTATTTATTTTCTCACTGGAAGTCAGTGCCTCAGCCCCCTTCACCTGTTTTGCCCATCCTCCCACCCCACCTCCACCTCTGGCAACCACCTGTTTGTTCTCTGTATCTATAAGTCTGTTTCTGTTTTGTTACATCTGTTTGCTTTGTTTTCTTAGATTCCACATATAAGTGAGATCATATGGTATTTGTCTTTCTCAGTCTGACTTATTTCACTTAGCATCATGCCCTCAAGGTCCATCCATGTTATTACAAATGGCAAGATTTTATTCCTTTCTGTGGCTGAGTAATATTCCACTGCATATATGCACCACATCTTCTTTATTCCTTCGTCTATGATGGGCACTTAAGCTTCTTCTATATCTTGGTTATTGTGAATAAGGCTGCAATGAACATAGGGGTGCAGATATCTTTCTGGTGTTTTTGTTTTCTTTGGATAAAAATCCAGGAGTGGAATTGCTGGACCACATGGTAGTTCTATTTTTAATATTTTGAGGAACCTCCATACTGCTTTCCATCAGATTTATTTCTAATGTTTCCCTAC